ATTGCATTTATTGTTTATCATTTTCCATAATGCTTACATTTTGAAAGAGGCTTATATTTTAGGGAACAGCACACATGAAAAAGAAAACAAGTAGATCACCAGAAAAAGTAAATCACTAATATTTTGAAGTGGAAACGTTCAAATACCACTGATAAGTAACTGATTCTGTAGGCGTGGCCTGATACTGTTCAGCATAGCATATTATTTAAAATAAGGGCTCTGCCAGGACCACTGCATAGTCTGGCCTATAGCCGAGGTTACATACTTTGTGCAAGAAATAAATGCTGCTTTAAAATATATGAATCTCAGATTTACTACTCAGCAACATTGTCTGTGTCAATTTTCACATACAGTAGTGTAGCCCTAACAAACAACATAGCAACAAAAGCAGTGTTTTGGCAGAGAAATTGCTGCAAGCAGCGCAGGTCCACTAGAGGGCCCAGGGCCATGCCAGGGAGAGCTGCAGGGAGCAGCAGAAGGGAGTTGGAGTTAATGCCAGAAAAACAGCAGTAGCAAATTTTACCCATCCCCTCCTGGTGAAAAGAATGTATCATTAGAAGCAAAAAGAAAAAAAAAAAAATCTATATTAAGATACTGCTAATGTTCTAACAAAGTGACACAAACAAGTCACACCACTAACAGCTCACCTTCTTCCTACTCTAGGTATTTATAGCAGCCTCTGAAATTTTACTGATGTGCTATGTCCTATTAATTCTGCAATTCTGATCCCCCCTCCCCCCCCCCTCAAAAAAAAAAAAAAAAAAAAAAAAGGAGGATAAACAAAGGTCAAAGTGAAATCTGTAAAGCAATTTCCCCACCGTTTATGTAAGTTAGAGACTTAGGGCTGAGCTGATCAAGGCAACCAGTAGCCAACCCGCACATGGCATGGCACCTTGCACTGACTTTCTGCATGTGCTGAATTACAGCGGCTGATATTTCAGGAATTGGTGGTATGGGCGCATTCTACAAAGCAGGAACAAGCTTCTCATTATGACACTCTCTTAAACAGAAAGGTGTCGATAAACAAGCAGTGTTAGGAATCAATTGACCCATTATTAAGCGATGTTAGAATAAAATGTGCCATTGCCTTGCTTGAGCAGCACAGCACAAGTAAATATCTCTAGAAGAAAAAGCAAAGTCTTCTGTGACAGAAACCAATTTGATATGGAAATGGGTCAACAGTTGCTTAAGATGTAGCACAGTTTTGATTTGATCTGCTATATTTGGACTCTATATGAGGCGCTTCCAGTAACATCGGTATTGCTTATACATGAGACTTTTGCATAATCACCGTACGAAGCATTAGAATTCTTCAAATCAAGAATGATTTTCAAAGCAACTATACATAACTATGTTAATAATGTGGATACAACAGTATTTGCTGGAGAAAAAGAACAACTGTTTGCTCAATTAGGATTCATGATAAATTGCTTGGCAGACTATTGTTCAAAAGCCCACACAGTCTTTATCCAAGAGAAGCCCAAACGCATCCATGAGCACCAACTTATGCATAACACTGAGCTCAGTATACATACTAATCAAACAAAGAAAAATATAAAATAATCAGACATACCAGATAGGTTTATTTTACAAACGAAATCTTGTATCTGCAGCAAACAGGTTGCTTTTCAGAAATGATCACAGTTGGAGTTGTTCTTGCCTCAGGAAAACAACCAGATTCCATTTTAAGACTTCTTTCAAGCATATGATATAACCATTTACTTCCACATACCTCTGCTGCTACCTTTCTTGTTCACCTTGCTATTCCTATGAAGACCCTAGCAATCCTTTTATCACATCAGAGACTAATCTAATTTCACTCCTGAAAATTATGGAAAAATAATATCATGAAGCTTACCACCACCACGTCGGGGAACTTTCTCCAGCCAGTTGTGAAAGCTGCTTCCTTTCAGTTGGTTGACCTTTGCTCACATGTGCAATTGGTACTACTACATTGTTTTTTTCTTTACACTTGTTTCCAAGGTCAGATAATGAAATACAAGAACACAAGCATGTAATCATTTCCTCTAAGTACGTGATGACAATGAGTATCATCATACATATCCTAAAAGCCAAGCACAGGCATTAAGGATCAGCTACTGACTCCTGCAGTGCAAACATACATGGGAATATATTCTTGCATGAGGCTATGGACAAGGTCCCAGTAGTCCTCACAGACTAAAGCCATTAATCTCTCCTGAGTATTGTCAATTTTAAAAAATAAAACTGAGTGGTAGACCATTTTTAATCAATCTCTGTGTGCTGTCTAGCGTTGAGAGAGGGCACATTCAAATCATATAAGCAGAGGTTATAATGTCAACATATTATCTCCACAGAGATATAAGGAGTTATTATAGCCATAGGAACCCAGAAGCTTGCTGAGATCTAATGAAGTGCCAATGCTAAATCTTCACACAGAAAACAAAATGAGACAAAAATTCACCAGGTTTGTCAATTACAGATTAATAAGAATGACTTCCAAATCAACATAATTTATGATTACAGAAGCTAATAAGTTTCACAGAGTCCATGTGAATACCCGTTCTATTATGCATCCTACACAGCACACCATCAAAGGTGATACTGTAAGAACACCTCTGCAATGCACTTATGCATCTCTCTATGAGGGTACAACCCATTCAATCCAAGCGTATTTTAACCTAACAATTGCTATAGCATATTGCAATTATAAGACTAGCTGCTATTAGTGAAAACCAAACTACTCAGTCCTATGTCTGGCTCTGTAACAGATGTCATACATAATGTTTAATAAGTAGTTCATGTCTCTTGATACCATTTTACCACTTGTAAAAGAAGAATGCTTTCAGATCATTGAATGGTAGACACTGTAGAAGTAGAAAGTGATGATTATTATTTGTTGTATTATTATTATTTAATGTAACATATGGATGCAAAATTCTGGCTTGTTTGACCAGGAAGACAGCCCTATATGTTTAAAATTAAATTAACATTAAAAAAATTAAGCAAACAGACTATCTCAAATAGGAAATGAAATAAACAGTATGGAGCTCTTTAAATACATAACAAGTAATCAGCGAAAGGGCTGCGAATGGAACCTGAGTGGGAAGCTTGTGACCAGTGAGGCTGATATTGCTAGAAGCCTGAATGAAAGTTAAAAGGCTCCATGACTAGGCCAGACTATGCAGGCAATTAGAACTGCTGAATGCTGCCAAGGCATCAGGCCAACAAGAATTACAACTCAACAAACTGAATGAAGGAGAAGGGTGGGGGGGAGGGTGGGGGATAAAAAAAAAAAAAAGTAATTCAAAAACATAATAAAATATTTTTTTTAAGAATCTAATTAAATATTTGAGATCTTGCAAGGAATGGGGAAAGTGCCAGGTAACTGGAAGATGGTTAAGTGAATTGAAGGGATCTGTGCTCTCATTAATGCGTGGGGGAATTTACAAGTGTAACTTCTAATATCATTAATTGGAGTTACAATAAATGAGTGATTCCAATGTACTCTTCTGAGGGGAAGGCTCCTGTTTCCTAGGTTGCTCTTACCTGTTAAGAATTTACTGGAGAGTTACAGAGTGATTTTTGGATGTGGATAAAAGTGATTATTAAGATGGAACCTCCTGAAATAAACTTTGTTCTACTTTAAATGCAGGGTGATCCCAGAATAAATAGTATTTTCATAAGAACTTCTCTTAAGAGCATTTTTTCAGAATTGTGCAAACATTTACTTCTCTCTACCCTGCACCGCATATATCCCAAAATAACCCCTTGTAGGACGTGTGCCAGATTCAAATTGTATGAAGTAGCTGCACTTCTGCCATTCCATGTCAAAAGGATCACCAGCTAAGACAATTTTATTGTGCTTGTGCAGAATGAGACAGGGAAATGAAACCAGCAGGTCACTCACCCGCAAAGAAGCGGTCAGAGGGAGGAAAACAGAAGTACTTGTGAAAGGACCTAACGATGGCAAGGGTAGGGGGAAGAGCTGCAAGTTTATCATGCCTCGGGATCCAATTAGAAACTCTGTAGATGTAGTTATGTCACATAAGAATATACATAGCATCATATAGCTCCAAATTCCATGATTTTCATAACATCTATCACATCGAATTTTAAATGCAAGCCACTTAAAATAATAATTTTTCCATCCACTGCTCCTGCATTAACTCAGAAATTTCCTCCAAAACAAAAATGTAAACTCCATCACTCTTATAACGCTACAATGAATTCAGGAGTCAAAACACATTTGTATTTCTTACTTTCAGAGAAACGTGGTGGTATTTAAAATACTTTTTCTAGAATCTATGAATGCAAACCTGAAATAACAATGTTAGTACCTCTTTCAGATACAGAAAATGGAGAATTTAGGGCCATAAAGATTATGTTGGGGGTTCCAAGTGGGTTAATGTATGAGTATTTGTCTGGAAAGTAGAAACCACTGGATTTCAGAGCACAGCCTCAGGAAAAAAAAAAAAAGAAAAAAAAAAAAAGGAAGAATTCCATATGAATGCATACCCTGGAATGGGTCATAATAAGGAATCTATTTAAAATTAAAAACAAAACAAAAACCTGAAAAGCTAACAAGCTTGTGAAGAAAAACAAAAACAAAAAATAAAGAGAGAGATGTTATGAGGTTTTACCTTAGAGACCTTAGACTACATAAAATCTTTTTAAAATTCAGACTGCTCTTATACATCCCAGAATCTGATCTCTTACATAAGATGTGCCTACATGAGAAATGGGTTTTAGAAGGCTGTATTTCCAACCTTTTACTAGTTCCTTACCAGAAAGATTATCAGGAAGATTATCAGGTATCTACTTCAATGCATCCAATATATTTGAAACTCATAGATAAATCTGGACTCTTATTTCATGACAGGAATATTACTATATACTTTAAAGAGTAAAGGAAAACATTGCCAATCGATTAAAATTATGACACAACAAATGAGATAACCATAAAAATATTTACTGTTCCTGAAGATGTAAATCATTTCATACCACCACCACGAGATTACCTTATGAAAAACAGCCATCAAGAACGATTTGCTTTCTTCTTTTGTCTATTTGCATGAAAATACGGACACCTGGAAAGGACAGAACAGACTCACATTTGCATTTGCTGTGAAAGAGAGTTTTCTTCACAAATATATCCTTTAGGGTCATAACAGAATCAAATACCAGACAACAGTCAGTGCAGGTAGCATTTTGGTACAGAACTCAAATACTGACACAAAAGCAAAAGTCAATTATTACTAACCAAATCTGTTAAATTTCCCAAGATGAAGATGGGGAAAAAAAAATGGAGAATTTTCACATTAAGGTAGTGGCTAAATTGTAGCTTAATATATAATTTCTGTGCATATAAGGCAAGCATAGACAGACCATATGTCTTTTCTTGGCCTTTAAATGCTCCTATTTTCCACTAGACTTGCCTTTTTCTCCATCTATTGGCAGTCATACCATTTGCTGTTCAGGTGATTGGCTGTAATGAGCCAACTCTTGTTTCCGTATGAATAACTGCTTTTTTCCCCAATTACTTAAGCTGCCAGCAAGTCATGTTCTTTGATGCAAATTTGACTGTCAGTAAAGAACAGGAGTACATAGAGAGAATTTATGACAATACACTTAGCTTAATATTTTCCTTAAAAGCTATTCAGTTTAGCTTCCACAGAACATAGAGAAGAAGGCAATGGCCCACAGTAAGAAGCAATAATATCTCTAATTGGCTTTGTGCTCCACATGCCCCCATAACAAGTTTTTCCATATGGTAGTCTAAAATAAATGTATTAATCTGCACTTATGTATTTATGTCACTTTAAAAGATCCATTTTAGTCAACATCAAAACCCATAAAAACAAAAAGTCTTATTTTATTTTACAATTTTATTTTCAAAACTTGAATACTGAATACATAGTATGATATTTACAGTTTTTGGGAATAAGAGAACAAACTGAAAAGCGTGGGAGGGAAGAAGATTCTGAGGCCTAGGAGCACCAGTTATTAACAATATGAGAACCAAGCATATAATTTTAACTCACTTTTTTGAAAGGTCATTTTTTTAATTAATCTTTCTTAAGTGAGATTGGATAATATTTCACTAAAAAGCAAACATTATTTTAAGCATACAGCTTATACTTTTAAAGCCAAAAGACCTATTCTCGGAGTCCACCATGGTCAGCATGATCACGGATAGGGTAACGGGCACATTCCTGCCTGGTGTTGTCCAGCACCATGTATGACAGCAAATACGAGTACAAAGTTATTTCTCATAGAAAATTGCCATATTAAAATTCTAACACACTACAGAAAAACTTTCCAATATTCAAGGCTAAGCCCATGAATTACATACCTTCAAACCTGAGCCCTTTCAGGAAATAGCTGTAGACCATTATCAAGAAGGTTTTCCAGGTGTTGCCCATTTCTTCCAGATGATTCCAATCAGTAGTCACTTCAAACTTCTAAGCAATTGCTTGGACATTTACTTCCACGTTAACAGCTATCAGTAGCCTATCTAAAGAAAATGATAATTTCAGTATATACTAAAAACTGCTATTTGCTTTGCAAAACTCAGATTTGATTCTGTGTGTTCCAGGCATTTTCAGCTAGGATTTTACCTATGAAGTGATTAGACATTGTACAAAGACCTCTTAGAATAGCACGTGTCCTAAATGCTACTGCTCTTTTGCTGAAAGGGCTCCTGGGTTGTATTTTCATTTAAAACAAAATAATAAATTATTGTTTACATAAGGTTGACAGCATTTTTTCACAGAACTGAGACAGAACAAGCAGCCAGCAAAAGGAAGACAGGTGAAAAACAAAATTTAACAGCCTGCTAACAATTATATCATCTTTGATTGTGCCGATTTACAATCAAAAAAGGTCTTGTCTAATCTTTCTTTAAGGGAAGAGAAAAAAGCTGCTAAACCTGAAATTCATTAGTGAAATGCATTTAATGTCTAAATTAAACAAATCAGTACTGTTAAATTCAGTGTGCTTAATTAGCTTGTGGAAGAATGCAAATACATGTTTTAAGATTAAATTTGTGGTTTATTATTATCACTATTTTCTCCCCACACATTGAAATAGCACATAACTGAAAACAAATATTGTTTTTAAATTCATTAACTTTGATATAGGAGTTAACTAGAATTTAAACAAATGGTTTTATGCATATCTTTTTTCACCAATGCATTTTAGCAGGTGTTTTAAGAATGTTGCCTGTTTGTTTTTCACCCAGACACAAATCCTTGACATCTGTACTCAAGGAAAACTGGCTGCTACAGGCAGTAAGGGAGCATTGCTGAGCAAGTTCCAGGTCAAGGAAGGAACAAATAGGTACCTAACTAGATTTCCAAAAGCTAATATGCTGCCTTCTCTCTAGCTGCCTAAATGTTTTCTACTCCCTTCATAAATACTAATGGATTAATACAAGTCACAGACTAGATGGAGCCTACATTTAAATCTGCTCTCAAACCTCATTTGCAGATTGGCCAGATGGTAATTAGTGTGGAGGTGTTCTCCAGGCAGAGTTGCTTTCAGGACGGGGTTTTTTAAATTTTCCTGGGGTTAGAGAAGGAGAAAAGGAAGCCTTTTGGTTTTTTGCTTCCCCCAGCTAACTTTAGTAACAGCTAGGAAAGAGTGAACAAAAGCCAAGCTACAACAGAACCTTCTCTAGTTTGTTATATTTAAGAAAGTGCCTGCAATTTAATCCAGAGAGACCAATAAACAGAAGACTAAAATAAAAAGGCAGAAGGCTGCAGTGTCAAAGTGCTGTTAAAGTACACGAGAAAAGCAATTCACTTGGGGTTCATTGTAACACTTCTAATAATGAGCTTCCCATATTTAGACACAAGAGATAGCAAATTCAAACCCCCTGGAAAGGATACAATACAGTTAGACAACAACATAGCAAACTGTATTTGTTTTGTTATTACTACCTATGCACCCTATGGTTTCTTTAGGGAAGATGATATGATATCTTTATACCACGGTGTGTAAAATAGCCTGAAATCTCTCTTTAACACCACTGTCATACCACAATATTTCCCAAGTAGTGAGACCTCTGCTTGACGCAAAGCTTGATCTTAAGCATCACTAAAAAAATTATATGTTTTGTTACTGCATTTCTTTCTGAGAGGTTTTCAAAATCCTTCTAGTCAGTACATGAGATAGGATACATATTGTCGGGGATAAGTTGTTAAAGTGAATTTGAAATGTGCTTCTCAAAATATCGTTTACACATTTACCAGATGGTAAAATAAACATGTAAATTGTTATCGAGTATACACCAACTTTATACTACAATTTTATCCACTGTAGAAATGGTGTAAAAATGCTGAATATAGTGTTACTTGTTCATTTAATAGTTTATTAACATTTTAAGTACATTTGGAGAATAGGTTGACTTTCAAAGAAAAAAAATACTTACAGAAATAGCATTTTAACTCGTTGATCAGGTCAAATTAATATCCTTGCTACTACATTCAATATTGAGCATTTACCTTATCAATAATATGATTAACATAATTATAGTTTGTTTTAAAGTATTTGCTTATGCACAGATGTTACATTTGCTTAATGGAAAAAGGTTTTAAAAGACTAATTTAAGTTGTGCTGAGGGCTGAAAAAGTAATTTTAATTAGCACAGCTATCAACATCTCAGTGAAAAGGTAGCTATTGTAGCAATGGAGCACTTAATAACTGGAATTTACCCTTTCAAGAGCCACCATACGCGTTCAGAATTTTAGTAACACGAATCCCTCACGTATGACAGAAGAGGAGATGTTTGCTAACAAAACCTCATATCCTCAGAAGAGCCTAATGCACACACCAAGTAAAATTACACCGGAATTAAAATCTTCCAGCTCAAAGACTAACGCTTGGTCTTCCCTAAAACAAAAGATCTCATCTACGTAACTATTTGTTAATGATCCTAATGGAAGATATCAGATGAAGATGCTGATGAAAACCTGTTTGCACAGCCTGTTGATTGGTGTGTCCTTTCCTCCAATACAGTTTTACGGTACTACGGGATTTTCTTTACTACCTTTCAGACTATGATAGCTTCATTATTTTGATGTCTTATTAGGAAATATATTCACTTAGCACATTTTATTTTTAGTCTATGCATCCAACAGACTCCAAACTACTCCTTAAATATGAGTATGTTAGCTAGTCTGTAAACTTCAAAATATCTAAGGACACTTTTCATCAATCCACAGTGGAGTCTTGAATTCCCACTTGAATGTTGTTTGAATTATTTTTCAGAGACTTTTCACAGCATCCAAATTCAATCTTGTCCCAGATATTAAGCTCCTGTTGACTATCACACTGCTGCTTTACTATCATATGCCCTTGGCAGTATGGTGTTATCACATAGATACAAGTAATGGCACAGAGTTACATTAAGCATTTAGTTAATTTTGTTAGTGAGTTCTGAGGAGCTTCTATATCAAACAAATATCCTGCAGTGCCACAATATAAAACACTGCAAACCAAAATTATCTTTAAAGAATGACTACTGTACAGAGGGGCAGAGCAAAGCTACTAGATAATAATCTGTCCAGTTTCTCTAGCTCCAACAATGGAAACTTATGCTTTGTCTACTAAGAAGCCCTACTGAAAAACCAAGTGCATGTGAGCACTCCTAAAATATCATCTGCAGTTTGCTGCTTTGCCAACCTACCTTTTCAATCAGACTCTCTAACTGAGGCATTTTGCATGAAGACACAGGAATGTTTTATGATATTGAAGAGATTACAATAATAAAGTTTTTACATGGGAATAACTAATAATGCAGTTTAATTAGATGCCCCCATCCTCCAAATCTCACTAAAGAGCTGGTTTCAAACTCATCAGGAAGAAGCACAAGTTCAAACTTAAAGAAATAACCTATATGGAATAACGTATGCAGATGGGAGGTGTCCAATAGCACACCTGCAATTACCCACATACTTCTACACATGAATCAAAACAGATGTTGGGAATCATGAAAGTCTGACTTCCAAAAAGTATTGGCTTTGGTGTATAAACAAGTGCTACAGACAAAACACTGCACCCGAGAGGAAACTGATGAAGAAGGCTCTGTCTTCAGAGTCTGTGCCACAAAGCACCAACCACCTCTGCCAGCTAACTTCTAAGCAGAGCCTGAGCCAACACTTCTATAAAGGCAGGGTGAACACTGCAGCATATGTTGCTATTTACATAACTAATTGTAACATGAACAGATGAAAAACAGCCTCTAGCTTCAGCAAGTAGGTGCACAATAACTGATTGTATCATATATCCGAAAATGGAAACTGTCAGAAACAAAGCCTCTAGTAACAGTGACTGGAAAAGAATCTAGAAATGCATCTCCCAGATTGCAAAGGCTATTCTTCACACAGCTGCGTGATTTACAGCTAGAATGCAAATCTAGACAGAACTCAATGAGAGCTGATACCTATGCAAGCTTTCATACATGTGCACCCCTCAGTCCGACAGTGGAGATGCTCAAGAAAAATTTCCAGCCTCACAGCAGCTGTGGGTTGTCATTGCAAGCATATAATACAACATAAAACTTTGCAGAGGGTATTGTAAGTATAATAACCATGCTGATCTTTGTGTGCAATGCATACTCAGCCTTACACACACACACACACGCACCAAAAAAAAAAAAAAAAAAAAAAAAAAGTAATGTCTTGGAGTAAAATTCCAACTGAGTTGCTCCTAAGTAGGAGGCTACAACAATGTGGAAAAATGCAAAATATAAACTAAAGCTTCATTACACCGACTGCATTTTAGTGAAAAACAGTAAAGAAAAAAGAAGGATAAGATGTATAAAATCCAATATTTCTCAAGCAAAATAGCATGCCTATGTAACCCTAGGGAAAAAAGAAAAAAAGAAAAAAGAAAAGAAAAAAAGCATATTGCTGCTACAGTATCCTCCTACGATTCAGAAGAAAAATACTGAATTATTAGAGGATGCAAAAGGTGAACATCTTATCCCATAGGTAAAATATAAATCAGGTAGATGTGATATACTCTTTCAGCTGCAAAATAGATTAGAATTTCTTAAAAGTTTATATGAAAAGTTTTATATGAAATAACCCAATTAAAATGTATTATTAAGGTATCCTTTTGATGACATCTTTTAGAAAACAATGTTAGAAACGCAAAGGTAATAAGTAAGTTCTAAAGAATCAAGTTCAGATCAACAGTGGCCTATAAATTATAATGCAACCCCTGTCATATGAGGAGTTTCCTGTTACTTGCTGCTTAGGAGAAAATTAACAAAGAAAACCTGTTAACTAAGGTTAAACTCATATACAGACAAACTCATATAAAAATATATGTATTTTTATATGAGTTAAATGCTTTACAACCACAAGGAACCTGGTAAATGTAAATAAAAGCATTTGGATGCAAAAGAAAACAGCCTTCCATGCATCTCTTCCTCTTCACTAATCCTGAGTAAGAAAAGGCCCTTGTTACAGTGTCCCCCATAAAAGGAGAGAGCACTTGCCCA